TTTTTTTTTTTTTTTCATTGCATTTTTATACCTGCTTTTAGGCTACTGAAGCTTCTCAGGAGTAGAGCCTTGGGTTGATGATCAGCTCTTTAACCATTTCCTCTTGCAATTACTGTAAAGTCACAATCGCTTAAAGCACACTATAAGCCTTATTCAAATTAAAAAATCTGCAATTTTAAGCCTGCTGTATATAAATGGTATTATATGGTTATAGACAGTATTTAATAATTTTTATGTGATGTGTCATTGTCATTGCAGAATAATACAAACCATTATGAGATCTCACTAGTAAGCACAAATTTCTGTGACAAGTATGGAACAAGTTAATTACTTGCTCTTAACTTATTTTTCATATTCCTCTCAATTAATGTTAGCAAAATTATTTACTGTGAATGACAAAAATGAAATTCACCTAGTGGAAAAGTCTGCCAGGAGAAAAAGAACGCACTTTGCTCTCAGATTTAAATATTTGTCTATTATCTGACAGAATAGCCATGTGCAGTATTTATTAATGTGTCATCTCAATGGAAGCCTACAAAATAAAAGATACTGCCCCTATGCATAAGAAAAGGAAAAACAAATCAAATTAAGATTACTTACTTGATTAAGTATATCTTGTTTCTGTAACGCATGCAAGGAAAGAAAGAACACACATATTAGTGCAGTGTTGTAACACTCAGGCTGCTTTTATAATAGAACTATTTTTGTTGCGAGGTTAGTGATGTAGATGAACAGCTTTAAGACATTCAATAGAATATCCCATTTTCTTGCATTAGCACGTATGTCAAGAAAATGGTTCTAAGTCAGCATCCTAGTCTTGATTAGAGAGTGCAAGCAATTTATTTTTAACCATGCAATGACAGATAACAAAAAAAAGTAAATACGTCTGCCTCTCATCCCTGTGAACTTTAAAAAAAAATAAATTAAAGTTTACTTGTTGCCAAGAATAGTTGCTAACAACACAACTTAATCAGAAGTGAATACAATGATAAATTCCATAAATACATTAACAACAAAAGGAGGGCTAAGCAGAATCTCCATGCTTTATTGGATGCGGGGGAAACATAGTCACCCAGGATCAGGAAAAGGCTGAGATACTTAATGACTTCTTTGCCTCAGTCTTTAATAGTAAGTGCAGTTGTTCTTGGGCTACTCAGCCAGCTGAGCTGGTAGACAGAGACAGCCCCCATAATCCATGGGGAAATGGTGAGTGACCTGCTACACAACTTAGACACACAAAAATCTATAGAGCCAGATAAGATCCACCAAAGGCTACCAAGGGAGCTGGTGGACGTGCTCACCAAACCAATTTCCATCATTTATCAGCAGTCCTGGCTAACCAGGGAGGTCCCAGTTGACTGGAGGTTAGCAAATGTGATGCCCATCCACAGGAAGGGCAGGCAGGAGGATCCCAGGAATTACAGCCCTGTCAGTCTGACCTTGGTGCTGTTGATAGTTATGGAGCAGATCATCTTGAACGCCATCACACAGCATATACAGGACAACTAGGTGATCAGGATCAAGCCCAGTCAGCATGGGTTTGTGAAAGGCAGGTCCTGCTTGACTAACTCGATCTCTTTCTATGACAAGATGACCTGCTTAATGGATGAGGAAAAGGCTGTGGATATTGTTTACCTGGGCTTTAGTAAAGCCTTCAACACTGCATTCTCCTGGAGAAACTGGGTGCTCATGGCTTGGATGGGTGTACTCTTCACTGGGAAAAAACTGGCTGGATGGCTGGGCCCCAAGAGTTGTGGTGAATGGAGTCAAATCCAGTTGGTAGTCAGTCACAAGTGGTGTTCCCCAGGGCTCAGTACTGAGGCCAGTTCTGTTTAATATCTTTACCAATGATCTGGACGAGGGGATCGAGTGCACCCTCGGTAAGTTTGCAGATGACATGAAGTTAGACTGGAGCGTTGATCTGCTTTAGCGTAAAGGCTCTCCAGAGGGATCTGGACAGGTTGGATTGATGGGCCAAGGCCAATGGTATGAGATTCAACAAGGCCAAGTGCCAGGTCCTGCACTTGGGTCACAACAACCCCATGCAATGCTACAGGCTTGGGGAAGAGTGGCTGGAAAGCTGCCCGGCAGAAAAGGACCTGGGGGTGTCAGCCAAAAGCCAGCTAAATATGAGCCAGCAGTGTGCCTAGGTGGCCAAGAAGGCCAATAGCATTCTGGACTATATCAGAAATAGTGTGGCCAACAGGACTAGGGAAGTGAGTGTACCCCTGTACTTGGCACTGGTGAGGCCACATCTCAAAGCCCATGTTCAGTTTTGGGCCCTGCACTACAAGAAAGAACTTGAGGTGCTGGCATGTGTCCAGAGAAGGGTAATGAAGCTGGTGAGGGGTCTAGAGCACAAATCTTATGAGGAGCAGCTGAGGGAACACAGATTGTTTAGTCTGGAGAAATGAAGGCTGAAGGAAGACCTTATCACTCTCTACAGACACCTGAAAGGAGGTTGTAGCAAGGTAGAAGCAGGTCTCTTTTCCCAATAGGAAGCAATAGGACAAGAGGAAATGGCCTCAGGTTGCGCAGTTTAAATTGGATATTAGGAAAAATTTCTTCACCAAAAGGGTTGTCAAGCATTGGAACAGGCTGCCCAGGGAAGTGGTTGAGTAACCATTCCCAGAGGTATTTCAAAGACTGGTAGAAGTGGTGCTTAGGGACATGGTTTAGTGGTGGACTTGGCAGTGTTAGGTTAACGGTTGAACTCAACGATCTTAAGAGTCTTTTCCAACCTAAATGACTCTATAATTCTAGAAACACTAGCAAGCACTGTCGCACAAGTCATCATTATATGCTGCTTTAGTTTGTAGTTTAGTTTTTACTCCTCTTAATAAAGACGCTGTATTAATTTTCTATCTTCATCACAAACTGCTATCACTACTTCCCAGTGAGAAGTACTACCTTACACTTATAAATACAGTTGTATTTTCTGCATAAATTACACCAATTGTGCCAGACTTAGAATTACCTGCACTACTTCCAAAAATGCAAAAATCCTTGGGAGTCAGCAGATGATTGCAACCTGACTGCAAACATTCTGTCAACCCTGGGGCTTCACCTGTCTGAACAGTTCAGATCACGGGCTGTGCCTTGTCTCCTGCACTCATTGCTATAACCTTCCTGGAAAAGTTTTGTTTTCCTGGTCTTTCCGTGTATGCACATTTATTCTTTTTTTACCCACATCTGAACTGTGGAACTCTGGAGCACTGCACTGCTCCACATGCAGACCCAAGCTGCACCCTGACTGCTTGTCTGGCTGAGACCCCTCCACACACCTTCCACCCTCACTCTTCATGCACTGATTAACCTTAAGAGATCTAGATGGTAAGCAGGTAAACAGGTAAACAAGAAACTATGATGCACTCTAACAGATCCTTCAAAAAGGATAATGATACTGGGACTACAAGCACACAATGATGTGTACTTACTATCAATTTAGATACAGCCTTTAGCTCCATCTGCTTTCCTAATTCTTGCTAGCCTATTCAGTGCTCTTCTCAAGGTAAAATGGCTGAAGTTAATTAATTTAAATAAATCCCAAATGATGGAAAGAATATTTATAAATCACAGCTTTCCAGGAGGCTGATCTTAACCTACCTACGTGTCTTACATCTGACATAAAATCTATTCTTAATTACATATTTGACACTTACTTGGAGAAGAAGGTGGAAGGACAGAGGTTGAGTAGCTTTCCTAGAAGTTTTAATCATCTCTCTTACATTGAAAGCAGAGAGTAAAAGCTCCATAAACTTCCAATATTGGATATCTTCTGATAATCAGGTGCATCATTTCCACTAAGCCCAAAAACCACTCACTTGACAAGATGTAAGATAATGGAAAAACAAACCAGATGACTTCAGGTAACAAGCTTTGAATACTAATAGCTTTTCTTTTGCTATTTGTGTCCCATTAAATCAGATCGTGATGCAATACAGAAGCAATGGAGTGCAATAAATTCCTGAACACTTTAAGCATGGAGAAGCCTGAAACAGGACATTCTTAAGGCTTTTTCTTAAATACATAAATATATCACACTGCTACATGTGCCACAGCTCTTTGCCACACGTTTATTGGTAAAAAACTGGTGCCACCTTTTGGTAGAATATTGACAAGACTTGGAAAATACTTGGAGTACTTATGAGATAATGATCTATGAAATAAAGAGCTAAAATAGAAACATGATGGCATCCTCTACAAAACACAACAAAAAACCACGGAAGTGCTGTTTATAATACATGGAAGTAAAAAGCTGCACTATGACTGATTTCAGCTGGATCAGTCAATTTTTGCTATCTTATTTAGAGATAATAATCAATTACTTCACTTAAACAGTACATCCAACTCGTGGAGTCCTCATCCAACTAGATACAATCAACTTGCATATCATTCTGTAAAGATTTTATCCACATAGCAGATTGAATGCATGCCAAAAATATAGACACACCTCTGCAAAGGCAGTTCTGTCTGACTTGGAATATTCACTCAACTGCAGAGGCGATTTCAGCCACTTTTGTTCCAGTTCAGCAGCTTATGGCATGAAACTTGAGCTAATAAATCCTACTAGATCTAAATTAGCTTCACTGCTACCTGTGTTTTCCTTATGTTGCACTCCCTGAAGTCTAAGCGCTAAGCAAAATCCAAAAGCTGTTAGGGTTAGCCTGGGTCCAACATTGACCCAGTAGTAGTAAATAGCTTGATCCCTGCTGAAGACGCTGAAGCCACCACAGGGTGTCTGACTTGCATTCCTTCCTCCCCTTCCATCCTCCCATCCTGTTCACTGCCTTGGGTACTCTGCTACTCTGTAAACCCTGGATGTTGCAGTACATTGGTAGGATTCTGCAAACAAACCACTGGGAAATGAAGAACTCCAGAAACGCCATACACAGACTCAGCTCAGGACCGTGTTTATTAATTCCAGCTTTGCACAAAAAAGTTCTGCCAATTCACCCAGCTTCAGTCAGAGTAGTTGTCCCAGGTGCCCATACTGACCACTTTTTGCCATGACTCAACCTCCACGTAGCCCCAAATTGGAGGAATAACTTTGTTAAAAGAGATTAGTTTCACAACTTCAAATACTGATTTGATTATACACAAACACTGATAATTTGATCACGTGTTACCTACATGGCAACATGTTATTTAAATTAATTTGTACTTTAAAAGGTTACACTTCACAAAACTGAAAACATTGCATGATGACTGAAAGTAAGTGAAGAATTTCAAGAAAAATTTGGAATAAATTAAGAGCATTTTATCACATACACTAAGAGCACAAAGAAAACTGCATAAGTTAAAAGCAAAGAAAAAAAGAGCAAGCACTGAGTTTGTAAATCAACAGTTCACACTTTTCTAAAAAACACCAAAAACTTGTTTACATTCTAACAAATATCAGTTAAGGGAGGTCTTACAGCCTGTGTTAGATTGGAGAACAAGTTAGATGATCACAACATTCCTATCCCTTTATAAACTGTGATTCTATTTAACTAAAATAATGGAGATTTAAGATAATCATTTACAAGATCAACTTAAAATATTTTACTGAATTATGAAATATTTTCCTCAGAAACTACCTAAAATGACCAACGTTATGCAAAGTTCAAAGTGTCAAATATTTTTTCAGTACTTAACGAGTTATAACTACCTTACTTCACAATAATTCTTGTCTTTTACATCCTGAAATATAAGATCAAGTAATTTTCATAATGGTTAGCACATTTTTCTATCCTGAATTCCACATAATGCAAGCACAGTTAGAAACATTACTGAAACAGGTTTTTATTTAGCTACATTTTGAATCATGCTATTAGGATGTGCTAAGGAGACACAAATTGCGATTGAGGATAACAAAAGAAAACAATCTGGCTTTTTCTACCAGCCAAACCAGAATATTTTGTCTAGTGAATCTGTAGTAACAATACAATCACACATATGCCCTTTTTTGTTTTCAGCTGAATTCTTTGTTCCATAAAATAAGAAAAAAAAATTCTCCTTTAATAGTGGGGATCCCACCACCAGAAACAACACGTGAGAAACAGAATTTAAAAAGAAGTCTTAATTGAACAGATTTTACTTTTCTAACTTGTGAAATTATGCTTAACATTCCCAATCTCTAAAAAGAATTGGGAAGCATGTTAACCTTACCATAAGGGGTTTTTTTTTGGTGTCCGTTTCTTAAAATCTTAGAAAAGAAAATGTGGGTTTATGTAAATTGTTAAGCAGGTATGTCTAATATGATGTTTATATACTTCTAGATCTTAAAAGTGTTCATATTTTTGTTTTCCAAAGAGTTTCAAATACCCCAAAGAGCTGATTTATAAATAACCTTCTATTTCAAATGCTTAGATTTGCTACAACATTTGTAAATATGTCTCCCCACCATTTCTGACCATTGAAGAAAGAAGAAGAATTACCCCTTCAGGATTATATTTTGCTAACACACCACTGCCATGGAATTCTTCTAAGACATCCTTAATTTTCTTGGTGGAATCTGGATGAAGAATAAAGAGAGAGAACATGAAAATACAGAAAACTGATTTACATAATACGAAATGTAATTCAAGAAACAACAATCAAACTGCTAATAGTTTTTCTCAATGCACATTAGCAATTTTCTCTAGCTGCATGAGAGCTGTGGGCACAAAAAAAAGTGAGAACATACTATACCCTCTCACCAAATACTGTAAAAATCAGCAAGTAAACACAAAATGCTCAGAAACAAACACTCTTTGACCCAATCCTTAACTATTGTTAAGTAGCATATTTCTGAAGGAGTTGTTTGCAAGGACTATTTGAAGTCATTTTTCTTGTCCTCGAAACCCAAGTCTTCTACAGAACACAGACATTCCCAACAGCGCTACTAAATCTCCCCTGGCACAGTTGCCAGCGAGTAGAGGAACTGTCAGAGGAGCCAGACAATATCAAGATAAAGGAGAAACTTGACGAAAAAAAAACCAAAAACTTTTCTGCAGTCACGTCACAGAAAAAAAATGTTGCTATCAAAACCTCAAATTTTGCAGACTTCTAAGATATTCTAACCACTGGCAGCTACAGTAACTTTTGGACAACTTATGTCTAACAGAATTGTGCAAAATCCCTACAGTTCAGAAGCACGTAGGTCTAACCTTTCCAACTTGTTTTTAATTGTCTATGGGCAGAACAAAAAAACCCAGTTATTTCAGTAAGTAGTGACTATGTAAAACCCTTAAACTCACATTCACTTAGAATATTTCATGCACATAGCCATCTTTTCCACCTTAAATATCTCAGTTATACAACAAAAGTAAATGCAACTCAATTTTTTCTTTAAAATGCCATTGTTGAGTCCATAATAGTCAAATGTGCATGATGGCCACAACAAAGAAGTAGACCACGAACCATTAATGAGTAGCAGATGTATTACAGAAGAAAACAGATAAATTTAATGGCTGCCCATTTATTTCTACAACAAAACCTGGAAGGAAAGGAGAGAAGCAAAGTGTGCAACAAGAAGAGGACTATCACACGAGCAATTAGTTAGACACTTAAAATTACAGACATTAGGACCTAGTCTTACTGATTTTTTTTCAATTATATCAACAAAATATAGCATTGTAATCGTTTTTACAAGTTAAAGAAAATCAGTACCTTGAACCTGACTCTAAAAAGTACATTTAGTAAATTATGTGACCTGGAAGGAGAAAATGTAGCAGCAAAGGACTTGAAAAATGGCTTTGTAACAGTTCATAACAGCTATGAACAGGACACACCAGTAAAATTCAGTTTTAAGAGGTGCTGGAAGAGCTGTCCATGTCCTCCCCCAGCCCAGTTTTGATTGTAATAAGAATGGCTTTTCCTAATGTTTGTCATTTTTTTCATAAATGAAAACACCTGAGACTATGTGTGGCCTCAATAAAAGTTTATTTTCACTAATCAGATGTATTTCAACATTACTGGCAACTGTAAGTAAGGGGGTTTAGCTGGTCTCATGGGCAGTCACAGCAAATATTTATTGATAGTATAGTCTTATTGCTGTGTCATTTCAAATACAGCAAATAACTACAACTTTTGTGAAAAAAGACAAAAAAATGTAAAATGAGTAAATCAATATGTTAAATAAATTTTATTAAGAATTGTAATTAGAAGTTGATGGATTAGATATTTACTGATTAAGACAAGTACATAAACTGATGACTGACAAAAATTTCTTTTTTACTTGGTCTCTACTATTTCAATGTTTTTCAGTAGTCATATACAAGGTTGCATATAAAAATCGTTGCATCTTATGATAATGAAGTCAGTAACTATGAAAGCCACAGTGTGAGATGAACAGATGTAGACTGTGAAATGACAGAGGTGACTGAACCTTATCCTCAAAAAGGATTTTTCTGAACTTTAGACGAAACAGGTTAAACACACATCAAATAGAAAGACAGCAAGGTCTCCTCACACACCTTTTATTATCCAAAGAAAATAATAAATGAATAAATGAAAAAATATAAATGGCCGACTTTCTAGCAGTTTTAAGAGTGTCTAGAGGTTTTCTCCTAGCAATGACTATGCTTTTTTCATTTTCTATTTTGCCAGATAAAGTCTTTTAATCTTTAAATATGTACTATACCTATGAAACTGTAATTAAAACCAAAAATCTGTGTTATGTTACTTATTAAAAAATAAATTAAATCTTTTGTTCATACTATTCTTAGTCAAGTATCATTAAGATAGAAAATATCCTCTATTCCAGCAACAACACAACTGTTCACCTTTTTTGTGCATGAGCTTAAAGCAGTCACATCCAAATTGCATAGCTAATTCCATGCTTGAAATAACCATTAAGAAAAAATGGCCTGCAGATGTAAATTCTGCTTGGCTTGTCCCAGCAAAACTCTTCAAGAGATTTCCACATTTTGGACAGGAGCTCTATTTATTATAAGAACCATGACATACATTTCACAGACAAGGCAGAACTATTTTTCACAATCTTTTGTTCACAGTCATTCAACCATTTTTTCAGTTCATGTGACAGTATCCAAACTGACACAAATAGAGATCTTTTAAAATGCTTGAAATATCTATATTTTAAGTCAAACGCCAACTGACAATCTTCTGCATTTGTACTCTTCAACAGTGCTGACATTTCTCAGAAAAGTTCATTCTCCTTCCTCAGCATCTAGTAAGCAAACTAATATTAAGGAATATGTTCCATGTTTAATAAGTTGACCTAAAGGGATAAGAAGAATAGGATAATTTTCAAGTTTCACTATTATTTAGGGATCACATTCAGGAAAAAAAAGAAAAGCGGGGGGGAGGACCAAGAGGAATTGTCTTGGAAAGCTCAATGCCAATAAAAATGAGAAACTCCAATATAATGTTCTCAATTCTAACAAAAAAAAAAAAAGTCAAGTACATGCATTCCATCAAAAACAGACAAAAATTTGCAGAAAATATACACAGAAGTACCAAGGCAGCTTTTTCTAACTTTTTTTTCCTAAGTTTCTAACTAGGAAATAATAACAAAGCTATGGGTTCCATTACAGTTTATTTAGTCTGATCCAAATCATCTACATACTCACTGGAAAATGGTGGTGTAAACACAAGCGTCAAAACAGAACCTGTGTTCTCACTGTTACCAAGTACAGCTGTTATGCATAATTTAGCAACTTACCACTTTGTGATCAGTCTCAGTAAATTCATAAGCACCACTCATGTTAAAATACAAATAAGGTCTTAAACTCCATTGGATTACTCTCATATGTGTTTTAAATGAAGGACAAATTCCTCCTTTGTCAAACTCTGTGTATTCCAAGCTCTCCTTGAGAGACAGTTTCTAAGTATGTGTAGCTATAGCACGTAGCCTGTCACTGCAGTGCTTAAATCCCATTTTATCTGCAAAGCTATAGCTGGCACAGTATGAATTTTACGTAGCTTTATATTTAAAGTTTGTTTCATGAAACATCTCTCTTTTTTTTGTTCTCACAATTTTATTATATTTATTACCCACTAGCCCAGTGCTTTGTATTTTCACTCAAAATATGCAAGACCTTCAATTCTCTCCTCTGCCTGAATGGATTTAAGCTCTCATCATTCAACCCATCTTCTGCAGCAATTTGGATAGAATGCAGCAGTGTTCATTTAGCCAGGAGGGTGGAAGGAGAAAAAGGGAAACTGTGGCCCAGGAATCAGAGCTTTTGTTGGATGAGGTGAGACCTCACCTCATGCTCCAGTGAGTTTGGGGCAGAACTAACTGGTGTGAAAGACTGCTAACTGAAAAGCTTTCATTAGTATGTGGGAGAAAAGTAGCTGGATTCCACACAGTGCTGCAGAAAATGTATTTTTAAATAAAAACTCAAAAACAATAGATACATAGATGAGGCTTGGGCTAATGCTGTATTGTTTCAGAATAAAGGCAAAACAATTAAAATAATGATGCTAGAAATAAGAAACCTGCAAATGTAACGGAAAAGTGACAAAGTGTCTGATTTTTCCTTAACTGTCTTTCAGTCCTAACAAAGATACTTTTTATAACTGAAGACAAATTTACATACTAACTTCAACACTGTTTAAGATTTAGCCCACATTAAAAATTGTGATTCATTTTTTAAAATGACTCAACTTTAGATGAGGAAGATTGAGCACTCAGTTGAGACTGGAATTTGGTGTACCATTTCTCCCATAATCAGAAAACACAAAACAGAAGGAAAGCTTGCCCAGATCATATGCTTTGTCTACGTTTTGTCCCCATCCTCCCAGAAAAATCCTTTAAAAGGATTTTTTCTTAAAAAAAAAAAAAAAAAAAAAAAAAAAAAAAAAAAAAAGGGGGGGGGCGGGGGGAAGGACAGACTTATAAAACAACTTATATAAGACTCAGCATAACTCATATACTATATACACAAAACTGTTTTATAATTTAAAGGGAAACAAGCACTAAAAACAATGACAAGTAATTCCCTTATAATCTCACCAGTTTTTCAATCTCAACAGAAATTCATAAAAATCCACATATTTATTGGCCCATAACTAATTTTAACACCTACATTAAAAAGTAGAGTAATAGCCCCTTTCTACCTCTGTTTCCCTTTTGTAAACTCTATACACTATGAAAAATATCACAGGCATCCAAAGTCCTACCATGGTCAAGTTCAGAATTTATATATTGACGCCTCAGAGAGATTTTCTACACATCTTATTATGATTGAGAGGAGAAAAAAAAAAAAAAAAGGTACAACCTTCAATACACAATTTTCTGCATGTCAACAAAGCCTAGCTTAAGCTCAAAAGCCCTGCTTGACAGCTAACCCAAATGAGAAGCATGGGAAAAAAATCCAGCACTTAGTTGGCATGGCAAATTTTATATGGGTGCTTATTCTTCTATGGACCTTTCTTTCTTTTGTGGATGCAACCATACAAAAATGTCTGTATATATATAAATTTATACACATAGGTTTTTTTCCTTTTGCACAGTTTATTTTATTCAGAGAACTGGATAATGTTTTTGCTGAAGCTATAGCTATG